AAATTTCGCGCTTGGTGTCGCCCGGGCTACGGCCCGTCGGCTTTAGAGTTTCTTTGGTGTCCCGGTCGCGGCGACAAGCAACCGCGGTTACCCCGGAGCCTGCAGGGCACAGGTCTTGCGTGTGTGTGTGTGTGAGCGTGTTCGAGTCGAGTGTCGCGGTCGTGTGAATTCTGGTCCGCCGATCTGGAGATTCGCGGCGCGAGGGTTGCGTTGCGCGAGATCACGCGGGGTACGCATGCCGCGGGAGTGTCGCGTGCATGCGTGACGCGAGGGTGCGGCGCCGTAGAGCCGCGACGACCGAGGAAGTACGAACGGCTGGGTGAGTGTCTGCGATACCCCGTGCCGCTTCCGCCGCTGTCGGTGGCGGGTTTCGTGCGGACGGCGCGTCCTAAGCGAGATCCCCTGCCGACCCGCGCGGCCGGCGCGGCCGGGCGCGAGCGAAGGGCTCGCCGTAGTTAGCCGTCGGGGACTGCCCGGCGGATGATTGCACGTCGTTGTGAGATGGGTCGATCCGTCGGCCCGAGTACCCAGTCTCGCGGGCGAAGCGCCCCGGCCGAGTATTGCGTGTGCGACGGTAGTCGTACCGTTCGCGAGAAAATTACTGTCAAGTGCGTCCGTGTCGTCCGAGTAGGGTTTATCGCGTACTGATAGTTTCTGTTGAGTTCGCGCCGGATTGTTCCGCGTCGCAGAGAGTATCGCGGCGAGTTGTTCCCCCGATCTCGGGGCCGGTACTATTGTCGCCCGCGACGCCGCCCGTTATAGCGGCCGCTCAACCGGCTTGGTAACGCCGCCTTATATTAAACCCGATTTTACTATATTAAATTCCTGAGTTTCTTTTCGTGTACGTCTCCCGTCGTGAGTCTCGTCCGTCGTGTGAACCTATTGAGTCCCGTAGCCTCTGGAATTTTTTAGTGTCAACCACCGTCCCGCCCCTCTACCGTTAGGCGAGCTCATGATGTAATAAGAAAGGTGAACCATTCCCGAGGATGCGCAGTGGTTCAAAATGGCGTCTGCTCTTTGACCAATCAGAATTTGCCCACAAATGCTAAAAAGCAAGATGGCTTCTCTCATGTGTGTTTGTCACATCAGATTTTTGGCGTTTTGATTTATGTTTATTTACTTCGTACTGTAAGGCACAAGAGATCCCTCCCGTCCTGGTAACACTAAAGCTGCGTTCGGGGAGATGCTATTTAGCGCTATGAGCGTGCTCTGTCCTTGTTACGTGCGAACGTTGAACAAGGACAGAGTACGCTTATGAACGAAGAATTCATAAAATTTCATAATACTTCCTTTTCTACACAAGACAAGATTTTTGATACATTAACAAACATTGTTCAAAAAGTAATTATTGTATTCCTAAAGAAGTGGTTGCATGTTTAATACGTACGAGAACATATGTATGTTTGCGAAAAATAAATAAAGATATTGTTCTAAATAACATACTAAAGAAAAAAGCGAAAAAGTTAATAAATTAAGCAACAAAGAAAACGTATTTATACAAATAAAATAATATTCGTGTTATGTACAATATGTATTGATTGTATTTTATAATTATTTTTACACATTAACTATTAAATATATTTTATTTTTATTTATCATTTATTTTTATTTATCATTTCATTTATTATCATTTTATATATTATCAATTTATTTGGTATTATTATGTGTCTCAGAACAAAGTATCCATACTCCGATCTTAGTACTGTGTTTGAATCTCGCGCAACATTTGTGGGCAAAATTTTATTGGCTGCTCCGTAGTACCAGCCGCCATTATGCGCAATGGTTCACCTTTCTTATTACATCATGAGGCGAGCTAGCCTGCCCGTGGCGAAGGCCGATACCTATCGTTCGTGCGATTTCGCGGGTATCGTGACGTGACGCGTGAAAGACCGCGTCTGGCGCCCAAGCTTCGTTTTTCGCGTCGGGCCTTCGGCTTTCGGCACGGTACGCGCGGAGCTACCGCGATCCTGCTCCTTTCCGGCGCGTTATCATTTTCCCCCCCCTTGGTTTTTGACGACGACTCGATCCGTCCGCATCCCGCGCTTCTCGCGCCCGGCGACCGCACTCCCCGTCGTCGGCGCGCACCTTCGCCTAAGACCCGCGCGCGACAGCGAGAGCGGGACGGCAACACCCGTCCGTCCACGTATCACGGGAGGGCGGAGAAGAAATTAAGAAAAGATAAAAAAAATCGTCGCAGTACATATAGCGTTAACACATATAAATGTAACACCTATTGATCTCTTTTAGTTAGTAAAAATTAGCCTTTATTTTATTTTATTTTATTTCTTTTTCTCTCAAATATAATGTCAAGAAGTTAAAATGACCTTCTTTTTATTTTATTAATCCTTTTTTTTTTTGACCCGGTGGAAATCCTCATGGACCGTCACCCCGCCTCTCTGGGAAAAAGACGGGGTGGTGTGTGGGACTCGTCTCCCTGGCCCCTGGGCAGTTGACACCCATGGGGCCAGTAGTGCAATGGAGACGCCTACCGCACTAAAACCACCGGGGGTGGACTTCTATGCGCTATATGGGGACTGCCGAGGGCACAAGATCGCATAACTGCTCGGCAGCCCCCGCGCCGCGCGTTATCTCGCGCACCTCTACGCCCTGTGACCTGGCGTGGCCCTGGAAAGGGCCTTCTTCTCTAACGGCCCTGAGAAGGGCCTTCTCCTCCGAATTTGCGGCGGGGGTGCCACCAGGCCTCCCGCCGCGCCCCATGTTGTTGCAGGGGCGGGTGAGTCACGAGTTCCCAGCTCATGCCCACCCCTAGGGTCCCAGACTCTCCTTCTTCCTCCTCCCCTTTTAGTCGCCTTTTACGACAGGCAGGGGCTACCCCGGGGCTATTCTTGGAGCGGCACCCGTACGCCTTTTATTTTATTAATCCTAATCTAATGTCTAGTAGACAAATCGTAAATATATTACTATGTTAAACCTATCCCTTTCTATTTTATTTTATTTCTAAGGACCTCACCCCCCTTCGTTCACCTTTGAGAGTGCACAAGGTCCGTCCCAGGGTAATAGGGATTAATTTCCTTGACCTAAAATAGGACCTGCGATCGCACCGCTCTTGAAAAGAGTCATAGTGTCCTCACGGACATTGGCCTTTTTAGAGCCTTAGAAAAGTGCGTTCGGCTCGCTTCCACGCGCCTCCGAGCGTGTTAGCGAGACATTGAAACTTACTAGTTGCGTCATTCCATACCTCCACATCCCAAGAGGTTTTGACGTAACACTTTCCTTAATTTAAAAGCATTCTAAATACTATAGTTACTATTACAATAATTACTATTACCATTACTATAATTACTATTACGATAATTACTATTGCTATAATTATGATACTATTACTATAATTACTATGTATAATTGCTATTACTATGTACACTTACTATTGCTATAATTGCTATTACTATAATTGCTATGACTATTGCTATAATTGCTATTACTATAATTGCTATGACTATTACTATAATTTCTACTGCATGCACGTTTATAGGATTGAAGCTTCACGCTGCGCATGGCTTGGTGTTCATGATTTGCGGTATATTTACACGATGGAAACAGATTGTAGCATACTATTATACTCCTAACGGGTTTAATGGTGCAATTTTGAAAGAAATTATTCTTAAAATACTTGAAAAAGCCGAACTAATAGGTCTCAAAGTTCATAGTATCACCTCTGACATGGGAGCAGTTAATCAGGGCATGTGGATAGCTTTCGACAATATATCTGCAACCAAGTATCTCAAAATTAAAAACTCAGTGCCACATCCACTAGATAACAACCGAAAATTGTTCTTCTTTGCTGATGCTCCGCATCTCATAAAAATCTTCGAACTGCGTTAGTAAATAATAAAATTATAACATTGCCAGAGAATTTTACAAAAATGTATGAACTATCTTCATGCATTGTTAAATGTTCACATATCGAAGAATTGATAGCTGATCAAGAAAACATGATATTTAAATTAGCACCAAAATTAGATAAAGAAACTACTACTCTTACTAATTTTAACAAAATGAGAGTTAACAAGGCAACCACTTTGTATAACAGAAATGTTGCAGTGCATTGCACTTTCTATCAGAAGAACGTTACATAAGCGAATATAAAGTGACCGCGTTATTTATCGAGATTGTGTCGAAATGGTTTGATATAGTTACTTCTCGAAATTCTTTAATATCTTTAGGAAAAATAAAAGGAGAAGACAAATCGCGAACAAAATTTAATCAGACTATAGAGTTTTTAAAATCATTTATTGATCTCTTTCGTAATATTAAAATTGGACAAGATGGAAAATTTAAACCTGTACAATGCGGTATTATGATCACTACTACATCTTTCATAGAACTCGTAAATTATTTAATTGAGGAGCGGGGATATTTATATGTGTTAGGAGCAAGATTCACTCAGGATTGTGTTGAAAACTTATTTTCAAATATACGAAAGAAATTTCCTGTGCCAAACGCATTACAATTTAAACAAAGTTTAAAAATTCATAGCGTCTCACAATATTTACAAGTTTTAAACAATACTAATTATGAACAAGATGAAGGTGCCTTTGTTGTTGATTTTGTAAAAAAGCGTAAAAATAAGGATCTTCACAAATCATATGATATTCCTGTAATTCCGCCTCACGTCGATAAAATACAGATTTATATGGACAATGTTTATTTAAATATATTATATGCCCTTGCTGGTTATGTTATTCATAAAATTTCTAAGTTGTCTACAGTTTGTGAAAATTGTATCAATTCAGCTGGATCGAGGATATTTGATGTTAATATTAAATATTCTAAGTTAGTACGTTTAAGGTGTTATAGATTAAATACTTTGTTTTTTGTTAACGCAGCAACTTACAATTATTTTTATGAAATGGAAGTAATTGTAAGAAGATATCTACCTTATATTAAGAATAAAAATTATAATTCTAACAGGGACTTATGGTCAACCCAAATGGCTAGTAGCTTTATTTAAGTAGATACTACAACGTTTCGACCCTAGTTTGGGTCCTTTTCAAGTAATACTGCAATCAACAACAATCATAATTATAATAAATAAGTCGAGTATAAATTAAATTAAAAACGGTAGACTAGTGTAAGTCATGGTAATAAGGTCTAATACGTAGTGTATGTATAAATTAAATTGTAAAGTAATAAATTAGAAATAAAAATAAAATAAAATAAACCAGGTATAATATTGTTAAGTAAACGAAATAAGTTACGGTACGGTGAGATTACAGCGAACAATGGTAAGTCATGGTGAGTAAAACAAGATAGGCAAGATGTAAATTAAATAACAATTGAAGATATAAATTAGGTACTTAAATTATAAAACAAGTATAAATTAACAAACAAACCTAAGTATGTCGTCATGTCGGAAGAGACCGTGTCATATTATAAATTTTCGGTACATGTGAGCACTGTGATAGTTGGGCTCGAACTAATGCTCGGTCATGTTTTAGGAGCGTTACAAGGTGATATGGTCTATATTGTGTTGATTACAACGTCGTATATAGCATTTAAATTTTCAGTGTCTGTTTGTAAGTTTATTGTATTATCGGTCTTCTTTATGAAAAACATTTCCGCGATTTCTCTTTTCCTTCTTGAAATGCTCGCTATGTAATATTTTTGGTTTCGTCCAATTAAATTCATGGTTAAAGTTTGTACGGTGTTTGCTAATTACAGAGTGGTTATTAGCTTCTTTCTTTATATCATTTATATGTTCATTAATTCTGGAGGTATCGCTTAGTTTGTCCAATATAAGACTCGCAGAAGGGCCACCGGGCCCATGTGCCAACCCCACCTCCTCGTGGTGTGAGTCGGTAACACAGGAGTACCCCTCCTGTGGCTGACGGGGCTCTGGCTTCGCGCAGGGTGCACACACTGATGTGTATACTGGATTACTAGTATCCTGGATACCTAGACGGGAAGGATCGGGTCCCGCCGCTTGGTGCTGCGGTCACGGCCGAAGAATGAGGTGGACAATAGTCGTAATTCCTCCTTAATAGGTCGGGGGCAGGAATGTCCTTAAGCCGCGGCCCTCGCCCGCGGGGACTGAGAGATCCCTGAAGGTATCTCGCGGGCGCTAGCGCGCCAACCCGAGGGAAGTCTTTCCCTTCGGTAGGCGGACCGGAGGAGGAGGGATCCTTAGTGCCATCGCTCTGGGTCCTGAATCTGAAGGAAGGAAGCCC